CTTTTCTTTCAAGATCATTATTGGAGCACTGTTTGAGATTAAACTTGTCTCCTTTAGCGATGGACGTGGCTCCTGGTTTACAATCTTTCATGCCGAATCTATTCAAAACGTTATCGATATAGCTCTTTTGTGACAACCCAAGAATACATTGAGAATGATCTCTCCATATCTGAATACCTAATACAAAAGAAGCGTTCCCAAGATCTTTCATCCAGAATTTCTTCGTCAGAAATTTCTTGGTTTCGTGCAGTAAGCCTATATCGCTACTAGCGAGTAGAATATCATCGACATATAATAAAAAGAAGATATATTTACTCACACTGAACTTGTGATATACACAGTCATCAACAACATTCGTCTCAAAACCCAATGAGATGATGACTTGATGGAACTTGTGCTACCATTGACGGGAAGCCTGTTCGAGACCACAGATGAATTTTTTCAACTTGCAAACTATAAACTTTGGATCTCCTGATACAAAGTTTTTTGATTGTACCATGCAAATCGTCTCGTCAATGTCTCCATTAAAAAACGCAGTCTTGACATCCATCTGATGTGGCTCTAGATCAAAATGAGCCATTGGTGCCATTATTGTTCTAAAAGAGTCTTTTGAAGATACTGAAGAGAAAGTCTCTTTGTAGTCTATGCCTTCCTTTTGAGTAAAACTTTTAGCGACTAGGCGAGCCCTTTGAATCCCTTTTGGTTTCAAATATTCATTTATGACCAATGAGCTTCACAGCTTTTAGCAACTTGACGAGATCCCGAACATCATTGTCTTCCATAGACTTCATCTCATCCTTCATGACATCAATCCACTTCTGAGAATTAGAACTTCAAATGGCTTGATGGAAGTTGAATCCTCATGTTCTTGGAGAAAGACGATATAATCATCTGGAATTGCATTTCTTCTCTCCCTAGTGGATCTCCTCAATGACACTTCTTGAGGTTGTTGAGTTTGTTCTATAGGTGGTGCTTGAGGAAGAATCTCATTGTTGTTTTGATCTTGAAAAATGTCAGGGATAGATCCTGAACATTATCATCTAGTTCTGGAACCGTGTCTTAAACAATAACATATTCTTCTTCAAAGTAACATTCCTTATGTTTTCTTTCCCCCCTCCCTTCCCAAAAAAACTCAATATCCTCAAGGAATCTCACATTTCCCCATTTCAAAGAAAGATCTTGATGTGGGCTTGTTAAACTTATATCCCTAAAAACGTTTAGCGCAACCAACGAAATAGCAGCTAATCGTCCTTGAGTCCAGTTTTCTTTCATGTCGCCTATAAGGTCGTGCCTCAGATGGATAACCCCAAATGTGAAATTACTTAATGCCAGGCTTCTTGCCTGTCTAAAGCTCATAGGGGGTTTTGGCAACTACTTTTCTCGGTACCTTGTTAAAGATGTACATCGCGGTCTTCAAAGTTTTTCCCCAAAGTGACTCGGCAAGGAGGAATGACTAATCATACTCCTTACCATATCCTTAAGAGATTGGTTTCGTCGCTCTGCAATACCGTTCATGCTGGGTTTGCCCGACATGGTGTATTGCGGAACTATTCTATACTCATTGAGAAAAATAGCGAATGGTTGTGGACATTGTTCTCCCGATCCATCATACTTTCCATAGTATTCACCACTATGATCAAATTTAACAACCTTGATTTTCTTTCTAAGTTGAAGTTCAACTTCAGCTTTGAAAGACTTGAAAACATCCAAGGATTGTGACTTTTCGTGTATCAAATATAGGTAACCGAAACTAGATTAATCGTCTATGAATGTAATGAAGTACTGTTGTCCATTCCAAGAAGTCGTAGGGAATGGACCGCAGATATCAGTATGTATTAGTTCTAAGACGTTTGTAAATCTCTTGGCACCTAATTTTCTAATATTTGTTCATTTCCTTTTGATGCACTCAACACAAACTTGGAAGTTTGTTAAATCTAGAGGCTCAAGAATTCCATCTAACACAAGCCTCTGAATTCTCTGCTTAGAGATATAACCTAAGCGTTTGTGCCTTAAGGTGACATGATTCTCACTTAATTTTCGGTTTGTACCACGTGAACTGGTTTACAGTATTTCAATACAGGAATTAACA